TAAATTATATCAAATAAAACTATAAATTATATTATAAAGTAATCGAAATTAGTATGTATTCTTTTAAAAATAATATTTATTTCAAATCTAATTGGTATGTTGTCAATGTAATAAAAATAAATAATTATTTATATAAATTCTAAAATTACATATAAAGTTAAAAAAGTGTGAAGCACGATTGATACGACACTTGATGTATTAGACATCTAATTAAGTAAAAAAATTAATCTATTTTGCTTAATATTAAATAAACATATTCTACACTTATGCATATACATATCACCATATTATTTCTATTTATTTAAGATATATATTTTTATACTTATGTAATAGTACATAATATTGATATTTTTATATGATATAAGTAAAAAAATTCAACATGGGTTGAAATTTTCATTCAATGTACGGGTATTTAATTATTATGATTAAATAAATATAATTTGACAATTTAATTAAAACCAAAAGTAATGTTTTATATAAAATTAAATTATTTTAGTTTTTTGAAAAAATAAAAAAATTAATGTTATTTAAAAAAGCTTTCTAATTCAACACCCGTGTAATACACGGGTATTGTAATAGTTATAATTATTTCTAAATTACATGATAAAGATGAAAATTTCCCGACTAATAATTAAATAATGACTTGGGCTCAATCCGCGAAACAACCTCAAAGTTCGAAGATAACCTTTGTCCAGTTGAATGTCAGAATACCCATCTAACAACCTGAGTAACTTTTGTGTTTTTAAGCCAATCATACATTGGGCCAGAAGAAAATACCACAACTTAATGTTCAAGTCCAAATCTTTGACTTTCCCATTGTTATAAGAGGAGAGCTGGGCGGCTGGGCCTCTCTTGTAATTAAAAAGATNNNGATTAAATTTCTACTATACAACCTATAACAGTAAATATTAAATTCAAATATTAATAACCAATAAAAATATAAAAGAAAGTACTGTTTTAAATATTGTACCATAATACGGGATACTGATTTACAAATAATAACTCTTTAAATATATATATGCCAAAATAGTGAATCATATCAATTTTATATAAAAATATACCGGCTAAATAAAAAGGATACTGAATTTTTTTTTCTTACTGTAGTGTTTTTATCAAGTATATATTTTTTATATAAACTAGTGAGTAGCCCGTGCGATGCACGGGACAGAGATATTAAATAATTAATTTTCATAGAGTCCATAGAGCTTGTCCATTGAACCCTAAAAAATAATAGAGTTGAATCATCTATTTTCCACTTATTTTCATTAGCGTCACTTTTTTGTCGGAACGTAAAACTGAGTCTGTTAGCGCTAGCCATAAACTAATAAATAAATTTGTTTTTTGTATATATATTTATTCCTTGATATAAGAAAAATAACAATTTTACTTATTTTTGTTTCTCGTGTAAAATTGTGCAACATTATATAAACATGTTGATTTAAAATTAGTACAAACCCCTACGGTGCATGTAGTTAATAATAAATTACATTATATTTATTTCAAAATAAGTGTCATTAAAATGTGTATTCATAAATTTGATTTGACTGCAATGTTATTCAATAAAATAATTATTTTGGTAAAATTTTATCTTATATTTAAAAATTGATGTGATAGTAAGTACAATTATAAAACTTAAGTTGTTCCACTTATTAAAATAAATTTATTTTTGTATAAACAATCCAAATTAAAAAATTTAAGTAGTTGAGTAATTTATTAAACTATAAATAATTGACTATGTCATTTACATCCAAGTTAATTTTAACTTATTTGACTTTTAAATTTAGAATCCAAATTTGGACTACACAAAAAATCCCCTTATATATTTTATATATATCTATATTTTACTAATCTCGAAATTTCCTATATTTATTGTCGATTACCTTGTTGTTCAAATTTATTAACTATTTTTCCAGAATTAAATTATAAATTTTAAATTTTATTAACAGATATTTGTTCAAAGATCTTTCTAATTTTCAAGAGGAATACATATCACCTTATGGCAAGTTATATGAGAATATGTTAAAATTTGAGAATTGTATCGCCTTAATTTTATAACAAATCAACTTAAAATTCAACTTTCATACTCATAAATTAAATTCATATCACTTATTTTATTTTTAAAATTTTCAAATACCCTTCTATCAATACTAAATGAAATTCATACTATATAAATTGGGACATTTCATACCAAAATTAAAATTTTCCTCTTTTTATTCATCGTAATACTCAACTATTAAACTATTCTAAAATTTATTGTCATATAATATGCATTAAGATATATTTTATTATTTTTTTTAATAACGTAAACATAAAATTCATATGATCGAAATAATCTTCAACTCTTGTTGCACCTCTCATTCCAAATCTTTAATGTATTTTTTGAAAGTCCAATATCACACAAGCAAAATGAACTTTGTTTAAAAAAAAAAAATCTTCAATGCTATTAATATTAAATCATATGAAATGGATGTGATGTAACTACAAGTAAAATATACATAATTTAATTGAAGTGCAATTCAAATCTCAAAGTAACTACCAAAAAAAATAAAAATCTATATATTTTCAATTCAACTTTCTTCATAAAATATTGTGCATTGGAGTGATAATAAAATATATTTATCTACACTATGCCACACCATAATTAGCATTGGAGTGTTAATATAATCTTGTATGGTTAAATAGTTTTTTTTTATGTAGACAGTGATCTCTCTTAACAAACGCCACATTTTTAGGCCACCATTTAATGCTGGCTGTTTTGAAGTGAAACAAAAAAAACAGAAAAAAACTTTCTATAAATAGTATGTAATTAATGTTTGACCAAAATTTGACTTGCCATTTTTAAAAAATGGTAATTCTTATTATATATATATAGATATAGATTAACCTATATGTTAAGATAATATATATAAATATATGTATTGTATGACATCTTTAACGTGTTTGTTAAATTTTTTCCCTAAAAAATTTAAAATACATTTAGACATGTTTTGTTTGAAGTTTGAAATTCAAATATGCATCTATATAACAAATCGCATGATTTGTGCTAGCATTAAATACTACTTGATTTTTTATTAAAAAAATTAAAAAAACATACCAAAAATGGAATGCAATTAATATTCCCTATTTTTTTGCTTACTATTTTTTAAAAATGTTAATTCTTATTATATATATATATATAGATTTAAAGTTCTAAGCTTAAATTAAGTATCTATATCCTCATTTGATTTTAAATAATTTTAGTACTAATTAGTTAAGTTGTTTATATATTATTTACTTTACAGTAATATATTGAATTAATACTTTCTAAAATTGATAAAATAGATTGTAAAATCAATTACACTCATGGTTTATCCTATAATATTAGAGGAATTTACACCCCTTACCATCAACTATGATTTTTATTACACTTATATGTCTCTTATATTTTTATTTATAAAATTACCTAACCAAGCTAAAAATATTTCAATTTTACCTCACATTGGAAGTAACCGTTATTTTTTTTTTTAATGGTATGTTAAATGCTAATCAGATCCTTAATTAAAATTAAGAATCTCCTTTACTTAAATACAATATTTTTTCACGCACTTCACTCTTCCATCTCTAACCGCCGCTTCAAATCTGACTTCTCGCAAGTCGCCACCCCCAACATTACGCCAAAAAACCATTCAGATAACACTTCTGACATAACACTTTTTTACATAAGTGTTATATAAAAAACACTTAAGCCTCATATAACACTTAATTTAACTACCGCTATAAAAAGAGTAAAAATACATAACACTTCTTTTAAAAGTGTTATGTAAATTGTAATACTTATTCATATTATAACACTCCTTTTAAAAAGTGTTATATAAAAATATAACACTTATTAGTATTTCATAACACGTTCATTCTATCAAAAGCACTTTATAAAAATACAAATCACAATTGACAAAAAAATCGCACCATCTGTAAAAACTGACAAGAAGAAAAATAGTCGAAGAACCCTACTTCTCGACAGAATTTTATCTTCGATCGAGCAGATTCGAAGAACTCTACTTATCGGCATGCTACTGCAAGGAGAATTTTATCTTCAATCGAGCAGGAGGAGACCAAGGGCAACGAGAACGACGAGTAGAATTTTATCGCGAGAACTCAGGGCCCAAGCGTATAGCTCCCTTTGTTGAGCCATCTCCTTTGCGTGAGTTTTTCTCTTTTCTGTTAGTGTTCAGAACTTTTGACATTGATTTGGTGTTTCATGAATGGCTTGTATGTCTTCTTTGTGTTTGATGAAATGATCTTGTGTAGTTTAAGTAAGGATTTTTACTGTTTTTAATTTGATATGTCATGTCATTGCGATTGAAGATAGATATTGCTCACTCTTGGGGTAAAATTTCTATTAATGTTCAAAAACTTTTGACATTGGTTTGGTGTTTCATGAATGGCGTGTATGTCTTCTTTGTGTTTGATGAAATGACGCTGTGTAGTTTAAGTAAGGTTTTTTACTGTTTTTAATTTGATATGTCATGCCATTGAGATTGAAGATAGATATTGCTCAACAACGACAAGGTTATTAATTAGCTCCAGGTTCCAAGTTTCACCACCTATCGATCGATTACTGTACATAGTATTTAAGGAAGTACAATGAATGCTACTCAATCTTAATTGTTTGTCAGTAATATTTAGTACATTATGCTGCATATATATCTCTTTTCTTTCAGGGATAGTGAGGTCATTTTCTTTCCGCAGTTCTGTTCAGAAATCTTATAATCGTCATCGGTGAGCAAATTAAATTCAGAGGTAGCTCAGAGAGTCATATCACAACTAGTAACTTTGGCGAAAATTGATGAAGATTCAGATATTTTGGTATGTACTCTTTAAGGCCCTAGTATATATCATACTGAAGTATTAGAAAGTTAAGACCTTGCTGAGATTAATTGTTTATACTTATTGCTGGGTTACTTTTTAGATGAATCTTGATTGTCCAAACGGGAGTATCTATTCTATCGTGATAAAATCTTATGTTGTCTCGTGGCTGTTCTTCTTTGCTTTCACTTCCATGCATGAAACAGTTTGGCCCAACAAATACGGAGGAGATTATTGTGAAAACAGAACCAAATGGGCCCGAAAAACAAAGTAATCAGGCCGAAGGAAAATGCTCGGAAAAAATATCGAGACATATGGTCCGATTCAGATTATCAGCTTCCAGCAACTCACGGGTCACCACCCAATCAGCATTGACCAGGTGGGAGTATCTATTTTATCTTGCTTGTTTTAGATGTATCTTAAATGTCTCGGAGTATCTTTACAGTGTGATATGTTTTTGCTATAGTTGAGCTATAAGTTAATGCAAAAGGAAGAACATTGCACTTAGTAGTTGGCTATCTTATGTGAAAAAAATTTGGAATTGTTGCTGATATGATGCATTTTCACGTTTTCTCGTAGGAAGTTAATTCAAAACCATTGTGAACTATGCCTTAGAGCTTCTGGTTTCTTAAGGTTTTATGTGAGCAACTAGTTACTGAAAATATAAAGTTATGAATAGTTAACAGTGGGTTGCTCTTTTTATTTTTGGAGCTCTGCTCCATTCTAGGACAAAAATAATCTCATTGCACCCCTCCAAATTTTCTCTAATAGTTCTATCTAGACTTTTCGTGTTGAATTATATTCTAAATTGAAAACTGTTATTTTTTGTCGTGGACAGCTGTCGTCTCAAAGTTGAATGAGGAGAAAGCATTTGTTACTAAATAGAATAAATGGCTCCCCAGAGAATTGGTATGTTTTTCTTTTTATTACTTTTCATTTTCCAACTCCGCGACTTGTTTTTGTGAACTTCATTATTCTTTATTAGGCCACATATATCTTTAAGAGATTTTTGGATGTATTGGCTTTTTTCTTGTGAGAATTTGTTTAGTTATTCTAATGTCTATCATCTTTTTGATTTGATTCTTTGAGGATTGAAGTATATGACTGGATGTTCTTGTTGGGTTCAATTTCTCGTTCTATAATATGGTGTGTTCATTTCCTGTATGTATTATTATAATCACATTTTTCTTAGTGCTTTTGTTGAGAAATTTTGTTTAAAAGCATTTTGATTTCATCTAATGGTGTGTTCATTTTGATTTCTACTACAGAAATATATATTATGTATTGACTATTTAGGCTTTTTTTTCTTTGTCCATTGCAAATGGAGCTGGAAGAGTCATTGTTGACAATTCTCCTGGCATAGTGCTAATAATGGACTAGATCAAAATGGCTCAATTAAATTCTAGTGCTTCTTCTATTAGTGAAGTTTCTAGAAAAAAAAAATATATATCAAACGGCGCAATGCACCTTGGGTCGCTACGGAAACAACCTCCTTGTATAATTACAAGGGTAAGGTCTGCGTACAACTAACCCCCCAGACCCCAACCTGTTGGGAATATACTGAGTATGTTGTTGTTGTTGTTGTTGTTGTTGACTATTTAGGCTTTTACTTATTGCTCTTGAGTCGATTTTATCTTATCAGTTCGTTTTGGAGTACGTTTACTCAATATTATTGTTGGATTACTTTAATGTAATTTTGGCAGATACATGTGCATTATTTTCGTACTTAACAGGTATGTATTTTGTTATACTCGTATTACATTTTCTTTTATATCTTGTTTATATAATGTGATGAAATGACTTAAATTTGATATTAATATATGTATAACATTCGCGATGCAGGAGGATGCCATCAAAACTTTCTTGGTCCGGGTATTGGCTAATAGTGGGCAAATTTTTTACTAGGAATATTATTTGTTTTTCTTGATCATTTGTTGGAATTGGAGATACGATTCTTACATGCTACATTATTCTCTTGTACATACACGAGCACAATGTTAAAATTGATGGATTGTGTTAGTAAGTTTTTGTTATATTTATGTGTGGCTTGTTTTCTTGTTGGTTCTTGCTTCTTGGTACATGGGTTTATGATTTAAGTCACTTGATTCTTGTTTACTGATACAAAGGNATGGATAACGCTTATTTAGAAAATTGTTATATATTATCCTCATCTTAGATAGCATTTCTGTTAAAAATGTTATCTGATCAATATTATAGATAACACTTAATATAAATGAGTGTTATGTGAAAGGTTCTTCACATAACGCTTAATATAAAAGTGTTATAGGAAAGGTTCTTCACATAACACTTTTTTATATTAAGCGTTATGTAAAATATTCTTCACATAACGCTTAATATAAAAAGTGTTATGTGAAAAGTTCTTCACATAGCGCTTTTTAAGCATTACTTGAAAAGGTCTGTCTTCAGATAACACTGACTCCGATAACGCTTAAAAGCGTTGTCTGTAGCGGAAAAAAAGCGCTATCTGAAGCCTTTTTTGGCGTAGCATCTTTTGCCGCTTTAGATTCGCTTGCAACAAGCAATACCGTTGGCCGCCATTAACGATGTCGTCAGCCACCACTGAGGCAGGAACGCCGCCATGAATGATGTCGTCAGCTGTCGTCGAGTTTCCTCACATGGCACGACTTGCTCTGAATTTTGGTATCTATTCAAAATCATGTGCGATGACACTTTTGTTTACCATATTTATCCAATAGGTTCGTCATTATGTACTCTTGCGTTGCCCTCAAATGTTCAACACCTTGGGCATTTTTATTTATTTTTCCCACCATTTATCCTTATCTCCTGATTGTTGATTTGAAAAATAAGTAGCATTGCATATGACTTTTGAAAAAAAAAAAAGAAAAGAAAAGAAAAGAATGAGCCCTTATTTTGCATATTCGATTTTTTTCAATCGATTATTTTTTTTTTCAGGAAATCGAGTCGAATTTGGGAGTGGAGCTCGGGAAGGTGAAGAGGACGATGTTCGCCGACGGGGAGATTTACTTCCAGTTGGAGGAGAGCGAGAGGGGCTGTGACGTTTACTTTTTTGTCGGAACTTAGATATCATATAAAGCTTAGCAAATTGTTCGTTATATGTTTCGGTATATGTNTTATCAATTCACGTATATTTCAATGAACATTAAACTTAAAAAAAAACAAGAAGACATAAAATTTTGACGAAATGCATGTTTTTCATTGCAACATATACTGAATATATACTAACATGGACGCAACATATACCGACCTGGACAGCCGCGTGAATTAGAAAACATAATTTTTTTATAGAAGACATGTTTTTCATTGCAACATATACTGAATATATACTAACATAAACGCAAAATATACCCCCTGGACAACATATACTGAATATATACTAACATAAACACAATATATACCACCTGAGAGCATCCACAATGCTTTGGGTCTCTTGACAAAAAATCACATGCCATGTAAGAAATAGACCTAGTCTATAAAAAAATGCTTCCCAAGGCAATTAAAAGTGGACATGGTCTAGCTTATGTGGCAATAAAAAAAAAGAGACTAAGTCCACACTTGGGTCTATTTTGGACCCAAGTACAAACCCAAACACTAATCATTTATTCCTACTTTAATTTTTCTTTTAATAAAAAAACCATATTAGATCATTTTTATTGGTTGACATATATGCTTTTATTTTTGCATCAAAGTTATTGAAGTTTTTTACTTGGGTTTGTCCACATCATTTAAGACTCAAGTCCAATTATATGCCACATATACAAAAAGAGACCCAAAGCATTGTGGGTGCTCTGAGAGCTACGTGAATTAAGGAATTCCAGTTGCGCACATATACTGGATATATACTAACATAAACTCAATATATACCATCTGAGAGCTGCGTGAATTAAAGAATTTCAGTTGCGTCAATTAAGGAATTAAATGAGTAAATCACGCCAGATAACTGATATGAATAGAGGACGTTACAAAAGGTAACTGATATTTAGGCAATCACGTAAATAAAATAGCTTGATTAGGTATATATCCTATTAATTGTTCTAAGAAGTTAAAATTAAAAATTCTTTTATTTCATGTAGTATATGTTTAAAAATTTCCCATAAAATTACAAAGGAAGTCTGTCACAAAGTATGGACTAATCAGTGGTTAAACAACATAAATATATGATTAATTAAAGTCATCGAGCACAAAATTAATTTGCAGAAAATGGCTTGACATGTCACGTTTTTTTTTTTGGTACAAAGACATGTCACGTTTTAGTTCGCCTCTAACTATTACGCCTTTTCATAAGTAATAAGAATCCAAGTAAAAGAATTATATTTCTTATTAATACCACGAAGTATAAAATAAAAGTAATAACACCTACAGAAAAAAAGTTATATATTGAATTACACAAAATACAAATATTAGGCTTAGGCATTTATACTTTATTAAAAATAAATATACATATATACTTTTATTTAGAAATATTATTCTTTGACTTATTATATTATATTTTAAAGTATAATATATAGTAGAAAAATATATATTTTTCTTGAAAATATATAGATGCTTACAAAAGGTCATACTTTCTTACAATAAATACATACATATTCTATTAGAATAATAATTAATTCAAAGAGTTATTAGGGTCCTTTCTCTTTGTTGTTTGTCACTATTCAATTTAGCCTTCATTTAATTCACAAAGCTTCTGCCAAACTCGATCAAAGAGTCCCTACACCAAGTTGTCATCTCAATAATGCATTAGCGAAAATCATAGTGGCATATGCATATATCAATCAAAGGTTCAATCATTTTCTCCCTTTGTTATCCTTTTGTACATAGAAATGGATACCCAAAATACACCAATAATATATTAAAAAAAGCAATATAAAGTTAAAAGAAAACCAAACCCCCCACATGAATATTGTATGGGCATGCACATGAGGCCGAGACCATCTTTTATTGATGTTCGGAAAGTAATCACGCAAACGGGCCGGGCCGGGTCGGTATATATGGTGGCTGTCTTTATCTATCAACAATAATCATGCATTCATTCATAAGATCCCAAACACAAACATACAGACTGAAGCACATGAATGATAAAGCTCAAGAAAGATTATCGAGCTTAATACTTGTTTAGTATTGTCCAAAACTGAGGCGCAACAGCTCAATAAAGATCCAATGGATACTTGGAATTCATAAAAAGAAGACGTATGCATATAAACAAGGGATTGGATAAAGATCAGTGTTAATTTTGTCTATTATGTGTGGATTGTTTCCGTTGTAAGTAGTGATCCAATGTTATATCTAGCTAACAAAAATATCGAAGGGAAAACTTAGCAATATGTACTTAGAATTTACATAAAATTATCAATGGATTAGGAAAGGTGCTAACTACTATGTTCATGTTCAATGGTGGAGTATTTTTATCAAGGTTTCCAAAATCGGACAAGCTATTGAACATGTCAAACCGATATTTAATTTATTAATATTTTGAATATATATAATATTTTTTGTAATAAATTTATTCATATAAATATTATGAAATAAATATTGTGATTCGAGCTTAGCTGGGTGGGACCAGAGTTATATACTCGACTGCGTAATGAAGAACGAGCCGATCGAGTTGAATAGTAGGGTCGGGGGATTAAGAGTGAAGGAACCCGGAAATGAATGCAGCCAAGTACCGAACGAGAGTCAAGAAGGATATCCACGTCGGGTAGCCTTAAGTGTAAGACCGACCAAGAAGTTACCAAAGCTAGAAGAGCCGAGCTCAGGACTTGGACAAAATGATGAGCCAAAAGCTAATATCGAAGACCCGAGCCAGGGCGCACTAAGGGAGAGGAAATTAATAAAATAATGGCAACTTATAGTCAAATGATGAAAGATGGTACACGCCCACCTAAAGCCTACCAACCTACGTGCCATAGCCTCATGGGGTACACGCCAAATCAAATGCGTGTCTTTTCTATTTAATGTTGGATTGTACCGCCCGATGAACAATAATTGTGTCCTAAGAATCAATTGTAAAAAGACTCAGAAAATTCTCAAAACTCCAGACATATATTCTTTCATTTAATACTGCATTAAAGGCGAGCACCCAAGCTCGTTATCTCGATATCCGACCTCATTTTCGCTTATGTTCTTGCGCATTCAACATATTGTCCATGACTAAAATATATAGATTAAACATCTTATCACTAACACTAATTTGGTGTTATCAAATACATTGGTCATCAGTTTGGCACTAGAAGGAGGCTCTCATATTGTTTGAGTTACAATTCGACTTGAAAAAACACCATATGTGCAGTTAAGTAAGCAACTTACAAGAATAACAGAAAAAGTGTCTCCATCAAGCCAGGAAACAGAATCTTAGCCACAAACGATGGAGCAACCACACACGGTGGCTTCTACCATCGACTTTATATCGATGTTTCAAGATCCATAATTCTTTAAGAGCGTGGCGAGCCTCATGACACGAGTCTTGCCATCGACATCTCACGCGCCACGACCAACGTTTGACATGCTCAAAACCCCAACGAAAAAAGACACAAACCGCGCAACTGGAGACAAGGGTAAAGGACTGGCCAAGTCTAAGGCCGCAACCCAATCTCCGGATGAAGTGACAAAAAACTGGAAGGAGAAGACTGTAGACGAAACCTAGACAGGGAAAATCAGGGAAAGCAGATCGGTGACCAAACGCGATTCATACGAAGTCGCAACCCTCAGAAAGAGAATTGTCGAGCTCGAAGCTCGGCAGAAGTATGAGGGAAGGGCATCATCGTCACCCCATTGTTTTCCAACGATTGTGTCATCGACACGACCTCTCCGCTGTCATCCGACGTCCTGCAGCCCCCTGCCAGAAAAAATCAAGATACACTAGATCACGTTCTACCCTCACTCCATCTCGAACTGGTCGCAATTGAGGTCGGCTTTTCGATCTCACTTCATCGGGTCACAAGTCTGCATGATCCCGAAAGAATCAATCAAACATTGCCCAAGGGGTCGACGAGGGCATGAAGGACTATGTTGCTTGTTTTAATGAGTGAATTCAAAACATAGGTTCGTGCCACTAAACTCAATGTTTAGGTGGTCGTTGTGTCAGAATAAGCAAAAAACCTACCAGTAATTCATGTCTTTAGTTCAACATCTTGTTATGGTCGATGAGTCCATGTCAGTGCCAACCTTCGAGGTGTCCGGATGTGCGACCACGAAAGAAAGGAGGTCATACAAGCTCGGGACCCAGCGAAGAAAACCCAAAAATAACAAATCTGAGCCCTCAGAAAACAATGACAATAGGAGCTGAGAGAAAAATACCAGGGCATCTACTCAGCTGGGGGCGCGAAGGTGTATGAAGAAATCAAGAACAAGAGAATTCTCCTTGATCCGAAGCCGATGATAGCCGATGAGGGTAGGCTCGACACAAATCAAGGTATTGTGTCTATCGCAAATCACATTGGCACAACACCGACCAATGTCAGAACCTTATCTCGGCCCTATTAAAGCTAATCAGAGACCGACTGGTGAGTAAGTTCACCCGTGACCAATAAGGAATGAAGAGAGGCCGACTTGATGGTGGCCTCAATAACAATGATGACGAGGATGTCCACCGAAGAGGCAGAGACCCCCACCTCAAAAACAGATTCTTGAATTCAACCCAGTCCATCAAGAAGAATCCAACTCATCTCAAGCTTGGTCGATCCCCAACCCGACCTCAGCCAAGAAGCTCCTCTCCATCTCGGCTCGTGAACACTAGTTGGGGAAGGTCGATCCCATCCAGAAGACATACTAAGGCATATGCCCGATGTGCACACAATGCCAGACAACAAGTACAGAATGCCAATTGCCGACCAGCGGCCTCTACGAGCTCAAACCCAACTTCCTTCATCGAGGAGGACGCCTTCCTTTTCGACTTCTGATGGTCTAAGTACTCATTATGTGGATCAGCAAGACACATGAGAGTGCATATTGATCGTCCTCTAATCGAAAATCTACGCTGTCGAGGAAGAGATTGGAAATTAGCAAGTGTTGCCCGAGCGAACCTTATTCGAACGATGTTGGATGCCCCGGTGACCGACCCCAAGAAA